GAAGCCAGCGCGGGCCCGCCGAGCGCCAGTAGTACCGGGGGCGGGGTTCCACAGCAGCGCGCCCAGAGACGGGGAGCCCACTGCCCTCTCGCCCCACCCACGGCGGAGACACAGGAGGAAGGGAGGCCGCTGGACACCCCTAACCTGGAGTCTCCCGGCAGGACACATCCTTCCCAAGGGAGCTAAGACCGCAAACATGTGTGATCACGTCACAGGCCTGAACGGAGACTCTGCACCCCACTCAGCCATCTTCTCTCTTCTCTGCTGCGCGGGCCCACCCCACGGCTGAGTGTTCCCCTGGAGCCTTCAGTGAGGACACAGGCCAGGCTTCCCAGTGGTGCGGCAGAGCTGAAACGCTCCTCTTTAAAGTCCCTCTGCCGTCTCCTCAGTATTCTTCAAGGCCCCAGAAGGCCTGGCTACAGACCTTTGTCCCGGATCACTCGGGCGTGGCGCAGAGACCCCTGTGTGCTCCCAGCAGGGGGAGTCAGGCCGCTCCAGGGCCTTGGGCCTGGGGCTGAGAAACCCACAGTCCAGCGATTATGGTGGGGTGCCTCTCTCAGACCGAGAGAAGGAAAGGAAGTGCAAGGTACCAGACTCAAGGGTCCTTCCTGATTCCTCCTTGACTGTCAATCAGGAAATGGGTTAGAGAGACTAACAACCAATAGTTCTGTTTGCCATGGCCTGATGAGGGTGCTCAGCATTTATACCCTTATCTGCACTAGATCGGGGGTGGTGTTCATGAACTCCAGCCCAAGCCATGGGGAGGAGAGGCGTGCATCCTGAAGAGCCCAGAGTCAGGGCTAGGTGACTGGGACCCTCCGTGTCCTGCCCTCTGACAACAGGAACAGGGTCACCGTTCTGCCACAGTAGGAAAGATGGTGGCAATATCTTGACAGCGTAGAGGTTATCTGCATTGACCAACTGGTTAGTCCAAGTCACTCTACAGCTCTGCACCTGGTGCCGCCTCTTGCTAAGGCCCCTCCTCTGACTGGCTCGAGTTGGCCACTATCTTTTAGACTCAGCTCTGCTTTTGTCCCTCTCTCTCCCCTCCGCCAGTTAGGCAGAGCTCTGCAAACACTCTGGTTTGAGGATTTCATACACAACTTTGATCAGGCCCTCAGTGCCAGAGAAGGCAAAACCCATCCCGTTCACGCCTCTGACCCCAAGCCTTAAAATCTCCTTCTCCTCCTCCTGGACACAGCTGGGAAGCCAGACACCCAGCCTAAGGAGGGCCTCTATGCTTTGCAACAGCAGCCCTCAGATTGGTTTGGTTTGATTCTCTTTGGTTTCCCTCAACAGAAGGAAACGGAGGGACCTGGGAGAAAAACAGACGGTGCCTTCTGAAGACTTAACTTGATGGTCAGATTACCCCAGCCAGCAACACTCACCTCTAACCTGATCTTGCTGCCTAGGGCATCGGATGTGGCTGATGGAGGCAGACATAGGGCAGCTGGGAAGCCAGACGGCCCAGCCTAAGGAGGGGCTTTATGCATTGCAACAGCAGCCCTCAAATTGGCTCCTAATTACATCAGCTGTCTTTGCAATAGGGGTGCTTTTAGGGTAAAGTAAAATGCAGACTTGTTATCTGTCAAAGCCAGTACATATCACCTGCCCCTCCCTTCTTTCTTCTTGAGCTTCCTGGCAACACAGAGCTTCAGAGCCATGGCTTCTGCGTCCCTCAAGGCTGAGCAGGTCTGGGTCCCAGTGTCTCTCAAAGTCAAGGTCTTCAGAGTTCACCAGGACCTAGCTTTCTCAGCCTTTCTTGTCTGTCTGTCAGGATTACCACTGCTCTTTCTCTACCTTTATAGGAATCATCTTTCTGCTTAGTATTGATGAATAAAAATATTTTCGACAAGGTGAGTCAAAAAACCCTGTCCCTTTCTCCTATTTCTTTTTTTTTTAATAAAAAATATTTTTTTTTTCAGTAGTTGTGGCTCCTGGGCTTTAGGGCGCAGGCTTAGGAGTTGTGGCTCCCAGGCTGAGTTTCTCCGAGGCACATGGGATCTTCCTGGATCAGGGATAGAACCTATGTCTCCTGCATTGGCAGGCAGATTCTTACCACTGAGCCACCAGGGAAGCCCTCCCTATTTGTTCCTTTTTAAAATTCCCACTCATTCCTACCCCACATAGGAAAAGAAGACAGGGCTCCTCACAGCGGTCCCCAAGCTTTTTGGCACCAGGGACTGGTTTCATTGAAGACAGTCTCCCCACTGACTGGGACAGGGTGGATGATTCCAGGATGATTCAAGGACAGCGCATGTACTGTGCACTTTATTTCTAACCTAATGCTACTGCTGACCTGACAGGAGGCACAGGTCTGCGATCTGGAAGTTGGGGACCTCTGTGTCCAGTGCACATGGGTAGCTGGTGGCAGAGCTAGAGTTAGAACTAAGCTCTACTGTTTCTAGGTCTGCTGGCTGGTTCCTCTTTCTCCTAATTAGTTCTGTCTGTACCTCATCCCCAGTCCCAGCCTACAGTCATTCTGAGCCAATGGCTGACTCCTGGGCTGGTTCCATCCTGCTCTATGCCCCAGGGTCTTGGCGTCAGTCAGGATGTTGAGATCAGGACCAGACCCCCGTGAGACTGAGGGACTGGGGTGGATAGACAGCACCCTGCTTCCTTGGCATCTTATCACCCCTCTTCTTCGGCACAACTGCTTGTCAGAGCTAATTAGCTCAGCCCTGGCCAGACACGGGTAGGAACAGAGCGGGCGGGAGGGATGAGGGGCATAAGTCATGAGGAAGAGGTCTGGAGAAAAGATGGGTGTGCCTCAGGGCACAGAGACAGACGGAGAGCACCCCCCCATACACACGCTGTGGGCCCCAAGGAGGGGCCGAAGGATGGAGCTCAGGGCCTGGGGCCGAGGCCACAGGCTGGGGAGGCAGTCACCGCAGCAGCGGGGCCCCTTTGCCAAAGGCCCTGCACTGCCACGCGCTCCGTGGTGGGGAGGGGCGCGCCAGCCCTGCGTGCGAGCCTGCCCCTACCACTCGCCTGCTGTGACCACGGTGCTCCTTCACCTCTGAGCACTCAGCTCCTTCTGCTGTGGCAAGGGGGCCTCTCCTGCTGCTTTTGAGGGAGGAGACGGATGGGCCCCTGGGCTGGACACCTGATGTTTGTCAAGCGGAGTAAAATCGAAGCTTTATTCTCACCTAGACACACCAAGGACAGAGCTAGCGGCAGAAGCTGAGCTCTGCTGAAGAAAAGAGATCGAGTGTCCAGTCCTGGTGTCAAGGAAGACTCCCCTGCACATGCACAGGAGGGTTCCTCTGGGGTCAAAAGGGGAGGGGACACCACCCCATAATTAGTGGGGACACCCATCCACAGGCCTCTGCGGTGGGACCCATCTAGGCAAAATTTGCACACACACCTTGGCCCAAGTACCAGTCCAGTGTGAAAAAAGAAACAAGATAATGGGCCAAAGGTGAACAAAGGCCTGGAAAGGCTGTCCGATGCAGGTGACTTCAATCCTGTCTTTACTTCGCTCCTCACTCAGGACGCCGCACTCCTTTCCGGCTGCGTATTTCTGTCTTGCTTCCAACTTAAATGAATAAACTGTTTCTCCGTGTGTTCTCCCATATGTTGTGCTGTCTCTAGTAATAAACTCTGTACCTGTTTTGCAGTTTTTACCTCCTTGAAACAGTTTTGCTTTCAAACTGGGGTAAGAATCGGGGAACTTGACTTTGGACTCTAGCCCCTGGTGGACTGGCAGGTAGGTTCAATCCCTGGACAGGGAAATAAAATCCTGCTTCAAGACCACTGTCCCTCCGAGAACAATCTCACGTGACTCCTGGAAGAAGCAAGGCCAACTAGAAGCCCTGAGCACAGCGCTCCTCGGGGGAGAGACTACTCTGTGGTCAGCACTGTTATTCTGGGGAGGACAGGCTGAGACCAGTGTCTCAGACTGCCACGGAGTCCTTGGGGTCCCTCCAAGCCCTCTCGAGGCACTGGCTTCTGCTGAAAAAAATAAGACAGCCCAAGTTTATCATTCTGGAGGCACAGACTGAAGAATCCGACTTAGAGGATAAGAACAACAAGAAGAGGCGGAGGTTGGCCTGCTGTTCTCCTCCCGGCAACTAGGATCCATGCCGGCTTTCTCCCCAGGAAAACCCACCTACACACGACGCTCGGGTAGGGGAAGAAGACCGGTTCCTGATGACACAGAGATGGTGAGGGGTGGCTTCACCCCTCCTCACCACATCACACTATCAACGTCTCACCACTAGGAGCACACAGCAGCTTGGTGATTTTTTTTCTCCAGTAGCAAACAACACAAATGACAGCCATTTCTAACTGCCTGTTCATCCAGCTCGTGTGTCAAGGAGAGCAAGTTCTATCTCCAAGAGGAGCTGAGAATTCGCCTGCTGCTCACCCCCTGCTTCATTTCCGGGCATAGCAGGGAGGAAGGTTTCTAGAGAGAGCTTGAAAACTAGAGAGCAAGGCTGTGCTTTCTTCCTGAGCAACACTCTCTGCGGTCCTCTCCGGGATCAGCAAGCACCCGTCTGGGGTGGAGGGAAGAGCAGACATGTCTCGGTTACGGGCTGTTCCCAAGGTGGTTTTCAAGGGCAAGAGGAAGCCCCCAGGACTGCATGCTTCCCGCAGCCTGGCCTGGGGTAGATTTATTTCTCTATCTGCCACTTGGGTAGCACGGTTAGGAAACTAAAAACTAAGGAAATCAATCATAGCCTCTAAGAGCACATGTGTCCATGCTGCCTCATGGCCTCGCTTCCACCTGGCTCTGGAGATCTGTGGCTGCCTGGGTTCTGTCTCTCCAAAAGCGCGCCCCTCCTCCCCCCAGTGCTTGTATTGTGTGTGTGTGTTTTATTTTAAATCCATAAGCTAATTGTTTTTCTGCAGGGCTAACTGAATTTCCCCAATTTAATTTGCAGAGATGCTCCCCAGGAGCCATCACAGCACGCGATGCCCTCCAGATCGGATTATCGGCCCCTCCGGGGCTGCTGCACTGAGTTGGAAGCTGGGGCCCAGCCCCGTAACCTGATTACCTGAGCAGCGGAACTTCTTGCTCTTGATCTGGCTGATGCGCTTGTTGGCCAGCCGGCGCGGGCTGCTGCAGCGGGCCCCGCTAGTCTCAATAGGGTTGTCCTGCAGGTAGTCAGCCAGCCACCTCAAGTGGCAGTCGCACACGAACGGGTTTTGGGCCAAGTGGCTGCGAGAAGGACAGGAGTTCATTAGGCGGCCCTCGGGGCTCTGTTCCACCACCGCCCCCCTGGCATGGGCGCTGACAGTACAGCTCCAGGCTCCTTCCCTCAGTGCCCCAGGAGGCCTCGGGGGGTGCAGGGGCTCCTAAGACAAGACCTCCAGACAAGAACTGGATGGGGGCCTGAGGCCTGCTGTTGGCAAAAGACAGTCAAGGTACAGCTGGCATCCGGTCTGGGGCATCAGCCTTCCTAACCCTCCCCACCTGGGGCAGGACCCAGGTCTCAAAGCTGACCCATGACACTGCTGACAGGCACAGTAAGCTGCGGGCTTAGGGTCTATGCAGAGAGCAGACTGAATTTTATTTTCCAAGCTCAGGAACACGTGGTACATAAAGCAGCTGGTGCGGCATTGGGCACAGGGCGGGTGTTTCATTTATAGTAGCAGGTTTTGCTGTTATTATCCTCAGCATCATGGGGGTACCAGCGCCGTGGGCTCACTGAGAAAACTCTCCACAGCGCCACGCAGTGCTCAGTATGTGATCGGGCCTCAGTGCACGGCGCTGTCCTTACTCTTTACGGTTCCCGTCTCTGGCTCCAGGGGCAATAACTGCTAGATGACTCAAAAGGCCTCCAGAAACCCCTAGGATCACGGTCAGGCCTGGTGTTGGGGTGAGGGTCTAAACTGAGGGGTGGAGCCATCAGAAACACAGGCTGAGATCTGTACTGAGGTGTCATCTGTCTAACGGAACTGTTTATGAACATCTGCCATTCTGGCCTGGAGAATTCCCTGGGTGGAGGAGTCTGGTGGGCTATGGTTCATAAGGTCACAAACAGTCAGACATGACTAAAGCAACCTAGCATGTGCGTATGCCATGCTTGGAAGTGAGGAACTCCTCTCAAAAGAGGGAAGTGAAATACCCCTGCATTCTGGTACAAGGTGCCTGTACCAGAGACTTGGCTTTGTGGTGTGGAGAGGGCAGGTATTGGAGGGCAGGAATGAGCTCTCAGCAGAGACGGAGCCTGCTCAGAATACAGCACCCAGAGTGGTTAAGACAGCAGGTGAACCAGCCACTTGGCCTGGATTCAAATCCCACTGCTTAGTATCTGTGCAACCTTGAATAAGTTACTTCACCTCTCTGTGTCTTGGTTTCCTAACACAGAAGTGGGGCATTGCAGCAGCGCCTACCTCCTGGGGTTGTTGTGAGGCTTGGTGGTTTGGATACAGGGACCCCGTCCGGTGGGGCAGTGAGCAGGGCGTGGGTGCTCAGGAGGGGCCCGCTAGCGCCGTCACTAGTGCTTTACTCGGGCTGCAGGCTCCGGGGCTCCTCCGGGACACGCCCACGTTGCCCGGGCTGTGAGTGCGCTCTGGGACCCGCGCCCGGGGCCGCCGGCTGCCTGGCCTGCGCTGGCCCTGCCGACATACTCACAGTGTCTGGATGGCCTGCAGAGGGGCGAAGAGCCCCTTGCTGACGGTCTGCAGCTTGTTGTCATACAAGGAGAGCAGGCTGAGGCTCTGCAGGTCCTGGAACGTGTTCACCCGCAGGCAGTTGATCTTGTTGGCGTTGAGGAGGCTGCAGACAGAAGAGAGGCCGCTGACTTCCTCATCGTGGTGAGGCCTGCGGAGCAGGGGCGGGGCTGCCGGCCTCCCGGCACTCCCCTGATGGCCAGGGCCCCTCTCCCCAGAGAAAGAGGGGAGCTGCCGGCCTCTGGCCACCGGATCTCCCACCACGCCCGGGCACTGGCAGCTGTGCACCATGGACGTTGTGTGGCACACAGACCCTTTGAGCCTTCCCCTGCACCCACGCCCTTGGAAGAAGACTGGAAATCACAACCTGTGTGCTCCACTTTCTACTGTAGAAGGCAGAGCCTTCAGGTCTAAAAAAAAAAAAAAAATCTTTGGCACAATTGTTTGGAAGCTTTAGCTGACTAAAAGGTAATTTTGATTCAGAAAATTTCTCAGAATTCTTTTGGATCACTGATCCCATTGGGAATCTGCTGAAAGCTATAGGTCATCCTCCCAGAAAAAATTCAGCCATGGGTAGGCATGAGTGCACACACATACCCAGTCTCAATCTCTCTCTCTCACACAAACATGGAAGGAGCCCTTGTGATTCTGCAAATATGCCACCTGTTTTAGTCCAGGCCCTCTGAACATACTCTCTACCCCTTTCATCTGGAGACTCCTTCTCCTCCTCTGCATCTCAGCTCAGATGCCACCCCCTCAGACAGGCCTACCCTGACCACCTCATCTCCAGTGCGGCCCCACTATTGTCCGTCATAACCCCCAGTTTATTCCCCTCATAGCTCTTCTCTCAACTTGTGATCAGAAGATATTTGTTGTTTATCATTTGCCTCCTACTCAAGACAGTACACAAATGATATCTATTTTATTCTTTCCTTTATTCCTAGTGCTTAGCCCAAGCATTTATTAAGAAATACACCCAGCTCCAGATGCAACTCCAGGGGGTCACACTCATCTAACGTGACACCCATCCCCCAGGGTCAGCCTTCCTATCCACGGGGGACCTCTCTTCTGCTGTGGCTTTAACAAAGCCATAAAAGAAAGCTTTCTGGTGAAAGGCTGGCCCAGCATGAGTGAAGCCTTGAGGTTACAGGAGTGTTTTCCAGGACACGTCTGCCAAGGCAAGCAGTTTGGGTCCTAAAAACCCTTTATGATCCTAAACTGATGAGCTGTGCCCTTCAAATTCATGTGAAACTATTTCTCACTCGCTCTTGAATGAAAGTGAGGGGCTACTAAACTAACCAGCAAAAATCTTGAATTGAAAAATTTTCTCTGTACAACACTGGCTTAGAGCTTCCCTCCCGGGGAATGACCCGAGCGATACACCATGGCTGGCTTGCCTCCAGAGTCCCTGGTGCCAAGGTCCAGAGGCCTGGAGTTGGTAATGGAGGGGCTGCCACGGGAGCTCAGCCATCCACGCTGCCTCTTCATGGCTGCAGCTCCGTCCTTCCGGGGCCCCTAAGCGTCCTGTGTGAGGCAGGCAGCTGCGCTGGTGACAGGGAGAACTGCCTGTTTAGTCTGGTTATTACGGGGCGGGGCTCCCAGGGTTTCCCCCGGTTGGCTTCCGGCTTGCGGTTGGACCAAAAAGGTTCTTTTTCTTGGGGGCTTTTTCTTGTTGGCCACGTTGTTTTCTTGCCTTCTTTTTCTTTTCCCGTTCCCTTGGGCGGGGGGGCAAGGCCGGCTTCCCTTTTTCCGGTTGGGGCACTTAGGGTTGGGGGTTGGGGAGAGAGAGGGGGGTTGTGCAAGGTCATGCATTTCCAAGGAGTATGCTGGAAGCAGTTATGGTAACTGAGGTCGCTGGAGGGTTTCTTTCTTCTTTATGAGTGCTTTATCTACCCCGCCCATCTATTTATCCCTTTGTAGCAATTTCCCCCCAAGAATTTCCTATACTTTGTATATTAAATTTTACTCAAAGTCACTCCATTTGTTGGGGGTGGGGGGCATTCCAAGGAAGATGCTATGGAACAGAGAAACAGGGAGAAAAGAGAGAGAGTCCAATAGGGCTAAACCCCTATGAGTCAGGAATAGATGCTTCACACAAATATTTTTTGGTTTTCTTGTTAAAAAGAAAACTAAAGTAAGTGGTAAATGATTTGTTCCAAAGCTCGATATTCAGGGCCTTTTGAGGGAAATACTGAATGAGGTAAAGAGACCAGGTCAGAGATGCCAATCTCATGACCTAAGGACAGAATCCTCTCTGCAGCATCCTGCAACATGTCACATGCAACTCTCTTCATCCAGCCCTCCCAGTGTGCTGAAGGTGGGGACAGAATTACCACGAGGTTATCACCTCATACCAGTCAGGATGGTCATCATTAAAAAGTCTGTGAATAACAAATGCTGGAGAGAGTGTGGAGAAGACGGCATCTTCCTACACTGTTGGTGGGAGTGTAAATTGCTGCAGCAACTAGGGGGAACAGCATGTAGGTTCCTCAAAAATCTAAGAACAGAACCACCACATGATCCAACAGTCCCACTCCTGGACACAAATCCAGACAAAACTTGAGAAGACACATGTCCCTTAATGTTCATGAGGCGTTATCTGCAACAGCCAACACACGGAAGCGACCTAAACGTGCATCAGCGGTGAATGGATAAAGATGCGGGATATACATATATTTATGCAGTGAAATATTACTCAGTCATAAAAAGAATGAAATAATGCCGTTTGTAGCAATATGGACAGACCTAAAGATTGTCATACTAAGTGAAGTTACTCGGACAGAGAAAGATAAAAATATGATATTATTTATATATGGAATCTAAAATATATACAAATGAACTTACTTACAAGACAGAAATAGACTCACAGGCAGAGAGAGCAAACTTACGGTTATAAAAAGGGAAAGCGGGTGCAGACTGATAAATTAAGAGTTTGGGATCAGCAGATACCAGCTACTGTATATAAAACAGGTAAACAACAAGGTCCTACTACATAGCACAGGGAACTATATTCAATATCTTGTAACAAATTATAATGGAAAAGAACATGATAAAGACCATATGCATATACATACATACATGTATAACTGAATCACTTTGCTGTATAACAGAAACAAATACAACACTGTAACTTAACTATATTTTAATTAAAAAATCTGGATATTTCTGTCTCTCTCTCTCTCGCTGTCACACACACACACACACACACACAACATAAAAGGTCTTTATTTTCTCCCGGAAAAAAACCAAAACAGATGTTCTAGTCACACTGGGTCTCCTGGAGGCAGTCACGGAGCGGCTGCCCTCATTAGATAAGACATGTGCTCCGTGCACCACCATCCTCACTGTTCCCTAGTTCTTGCCCCTCTCAAGCGGACTGATGCTGAAGCTGAAGCTCTGAGACTTTGGCCACGTGATGTGAAGAGCCGACTCATTGGAAAATACCCTGATGCTGGGAAAGATTGAAGGCAGGAGAAGAGACAGGCAGAGGATGAGATGGTTATATAGCATCATGGACTCAGTGGACATGAATTTGAGCAAACTCTGGGAGATAGTGGAGGACAGAGGAGTCCGGCCTGCTACAGTCCATGGGGTCTCAAAGAGTTGGACATGACTTAGCAGCTGAACAACAACAGCAACAACTCAAGCTTATTCTCCCTACCTTGTCTGAGTAGGAACTGCAATTGGAGACCTGAGGGCAGATTCACAAAGCCAAACTCTGGGGAATGCTAGACACCAGATAAGGAGGGTGGCCATGGGGAGAGTGGAGTGGAGCTTCGATCCGCCTTGAAAGGGCATCCAGACTGCAGGCCACTCTGGCAACACTCCTCACCCATCAGGACTATCGAGGCTTCTTGTCTTGATACAGATGCTTTCTTGTTCCCCACTGCTCCTAGATCTCTCAGCATGGGATGCTATCGCAAAGATGGAAGACATCAAAACAATAATTGTGCTGGCACAATTATAAGGCAAAGATAGCACGTGCAGAAGGAGCAGAAAGAAACATAAAAGGGCAGCACCTCCGGGTCACTTATTCTCTCCCAGGAATGCTTGGCTCCCTAAGGCAAGACGCATAGGTGCAGAGAGAGATAAAATTAAGCTGCTTATCCAGATTTAGATGCCCAGGACTGCCTCACTGATCGCCAGCACCGGCAGCATCTAACAGCCTGTCCTTCTGTCCTGTCTCCTCTGGGAGGAAGGCTGGCAGCCACTCAGCTCAGTCTGGCTGCCATAAAAGGATCTCTGAGCTCTCTGGCACGAGGACGAGAGCTGCAGGGGAATTAAAAAAAGCAACAAACACCCTGAAAACACTAAATAAAAAAACCCCACCCTATGTTGGAGCAAAGAGACAGTAACTAACTATTTAAAATGGGGTTCAGAAATTCTGTAAGAAGTTCAGAACACAAGCCTTCTCCCTCTTTCAGTGGAGGGATTGATTCTGTCTCTTCCTCCATCAAGGTTGCTCCCTCCGTCCCCGTTCATCCCCCTTTGAGGAGCAGTGGTATAACCACTGTGCGAATTAATGATAACGTAGCATTGTCTCGGAGACCGCAGCTCTGTGAGCAGCCCCGTATGAGGGTTTTCCAAAGCACTTTTCACGTAGTGTTTCCTTTTACCCCGCATTATGATTGTCCTCATTTTGGGGGATGAAGAAATTGAGGGTCAGAATGGTGGTGGATTTAACCAAGGTGACAGCGAAGCTCCAGCCTACCTGGGTGCAAAGTTCATCTCTCACCCACCATATGGAGAGAAAAATCCGTATTCTGCCCCCTGTACTTGGTGGAAGGTGTTCCCTGTCCCTGGGGAGCTATTTTTGCTAGCTTGGAAATGCACCTGGGCACACTTCAGGTTGATCGAGGTCTGGCTGGGTCTGGAAGACTGTTTGCCTCTTGGCTGTGAAGAGGCATCAGGAGTCCCGCTGGCTCTTGGGGAGGCCTGGGCACCATGCGGGTGGGATGGGATGCCCTCTGAAACACTCACTAAACTTCCATGGGCACAAAGGCGGGCTCTTCCCTGAGTGGCCTGCCCCTGTGCAAAGCAGGGTCCCAACCTTCAGAGGCCACTGCCTAAATGCTGACTGGGGAGCTGCTACTTGGCCCTCTGCTC